GCAGATGGTGGTGATAAGCAATTTTATAGTCTTTTTTCGCAACTCAAGCAAATGATCGTTTCTGTGGTAGACATTTGCCCTAATCAGTACTTTTACAGCTTATCAATATGCGGCTTGAATCGGGTGTCATGTCGCAAGGTGCATGGGATTATCTCGCAATGCACAAATTCGGATCTGTACGGTTTACTATTCGCCTCACCGTTTATGTCTTTTTAACTTTTCAGAAATTTATGTATTTATTAGTAGCATTTGTTAATGGCATTTGCATAGAAGTATATAAGCAGCCTGCTGAAGTCTCATTGTTTAGACTGATAAACGAGAAAAGCAAGCCTACATTGAAGAGCTGAAGAGCTGTCTGAATCCGAAAAATCTTAGCAAGTATTTATTTAGTTTTTCGAAGAGAAGTGACATATCATCGCTCATCGGCACTAAACTCGATAAGTTAGTTTTATTGATAATTTCTGAAGTCCGGTTTTGGGCAGAAAACCAAATTCTTGTCCTAGTTTGTGGTTGTAAAATCCTGTGCGATAAAAAATTTTTCGTTTTTGAGCGGAAAAAATTTACGAAAAAAAACTTTTCTCTGTTAAAAAAAGCACGAAAAGAAATTTTTTCCGCTTTTGTCCTGGTTGAGACATAAAGATTTTGTAAAATAAAGACCGTTGTGCCGCTCCAGCTTTAGCTTGCGTAGGATTTAAAATCTTTGGCTTAAAAACTCTTTCTCTGTGATTCTTTTTCTAAGCTTGTTCCTTCATCTCACTCATTCTTCTCAGAAGAGGGCTTATTATTTTAACTGATATAATTTCTTTAGTTAGTATAATTTTTGTAAATTAGGATGTTCAAAAACTGTAAGTTTTTGTGTGGAAGGCAGTGGTTTGTTTTACGTTTTGTAAAAAACAGAAATAACTTCTCTAAGTTCATGGGTAGCGTTGGTCAGTGCGGTGATCAATGCATCATCAAATTCAAGTGGTCATCACCCCTTTACAGGATTCAGTGCATGAGATGCGGAAGTTTAAAAGCGCATTATAAACTATAGCAGATGCAGTTATGTAAGGATGCATATGTTTCAGCGTGGATGCATTACTTGTTACTGGAGCACGAGCATCACACCTGCACACCGTTTACACCACACATAAGTCAATGAACAAACGAAAGACAACACTTTTGGTTGTGGACAATGTCAGCGACGTTATGGCTGAGGCGGTTCGTTTCTTACCACTAAAAGTCACATTCTGGAGAGTAAACTGCAAGCACCACTGTAGCTGCTTAGCAGAAAACGCCTTATAGCTTTGTTTAGTTTCTGGAAAAATCATGTCTCAAACGTTTGTTAGAATAATCTCTAAATCTGTACTTTTGACTCTTTTGGTCATTGCGTGCTGCTGCTGTTCTAGTGCTGTTGTTGTTACTCTGCGACGGGGAGGGGAGCAATTCATGTTATCCTGAGTTAAACAAGATTGTCTCTGAGTGACTTCAAAAGACATTTCCACCACAGTGGCTCCTTTTTTATGCGTTTTTTTTTGCATCTGTGCAATGCAAAAACGCATATTGTCGAGGGGTTGTCTGTGTGTGTATGTAT